CAGAAGCCTCACCATCTTATCGGCCATATTTCAACCTCTGTGGTTACCTGCGCAAAAAGTAAGTTCAACCATGGACATCTTTCAAGTGCCAAGGAGCAGCATTGGCAACGTGATCATGAGAATGAACAAGGTTGAAGGACACGAAGTCACAGACTCAGTTACATCCAGAGAAAGCTCGCAAACTTTGAGGACACGGAGGTAGGCAGGCTGGACTAAAAGTCTAGGGATTGAGACACAGGGGAAGTTCCGGCAGAGACGAATCGGCAGGTGGACATTACAGGGATCCAACAAATCAAAGTCAGACAGGGGAAAGACGTACTAGACATGGGGAAGACTCAACGGGCAGAGGAACGAGCGAGGAATGTCGCACACACGAGCGGCATGAGCCAACGGATTGATGAAGGGAGCAGCAAGAGCGAGGGGACGGGAGCATGGAAGGAGGAGGATGAGAGGAAAGGAGGAGAGGATGAGATGGATTGATTTGGAGGAGGAGGAGGAGGAGGAGGGAGGGGGATGTGGGGGGAGGGTTACAAGGAGACCTTCCATCAGGCCTTCCACTTGAAAATTCTCCCTTGTACGTAGCGCCGTTGGACCAGCACATCTCACCCTGCCCCTTCCTGTCCATCGGTCGGTGGTGGCTACAAGCAGAGCAGGAGCACCTCTCGTCCAGCTGCCACTCGCCCTCGTACCAGGACCTTCCTCCCTCGTAGGAGCAGCGACCCCTTCCACTGCAGACCGTCAGCGCGATATATGGGGAGGAAGACACGCGCGCACAAGCGAAGCCCGTTCTTGTACTCCCCGATGTACCTGCAGCAAGTACTTGAATGCTGCACCACCAAAACGCGTCCTCCTCCTCCTTTTTCTCCTTCTCCTCCTCCTCCTCCTCCTCCTCCTCCTCCTCCTCCTCCTCTTACTTCATTCCAAGTTGCGGCCACTCGCACTCTCCCTGCCCGTCGCGCTTCCCCCGAACGATCCCTCCTTCATACCACCACTCGTCTCCTCCTTGTTCCCCATGAAGTCTACCCGACCCTGCAACAGAGGAGTCATTCCCCACAGCACTTCTCCTCCTCTACCTCGTTGCGGCTTCCCATGTATCCAAGACCCGACGAAGAACGATCCATCAGCATACGCCATCCTGCCTTGCCCGTGCGGCTGACTTCCCCTCCAGCTCCCCTCGTACTCGTCCCCGTTGACGTACCGACACGTCCCTTGCTCGTCGAAGAAGAACTCAAAGTCAACCTCCTTCAGGAGTCCTCCTCCTGCATCATCCTCCTGCTGCTGATCCTCAGCTGTTGTGTTCCTTTTCATCTTCACCCTCACATCCCCGGTAAACTCGTATGCCTCTGTCGTCACCCTCCCACTCGCTCGCTCGCATTCCCCGTCCTTCCACGTTCCTTCCAGGTGATCTCCGTTGGGGAACACAATCCTCCCCTCCCCGTACCTCACATCCTTCCTCCATCCTCCTTCGTACCTCGTCCCATCCACGTATTCGTGATCCCCCTTCACGTCTCTCAGGAAGGATCGTATCGTTCCCGTGAACACGTCTCCTGACTTATACAACCGCCTCCCCTCGCAAACTCCCTCCTCCCACACGCCTTCGATCACGTCCCCATTCTCCAGCTTGCAGCTTCCCATCCCTCTCAGCCTCCCTCCCTCGAACGTCCCCGTGTACAGAGCTCCTGCTGCCTTCACCCAGTAGCTCCCGGTCCCCGTCGGCTCGAATTCAGTCCGCATGAACTGCGCGGGGCCCTCGAACTCGTCCCCGTTGGAGAAGCGGAGCCTCTCTGCGTCCTTTCCTTCTCCTTGTAGAATCTTCTCAGGCCGCAGCTTCTTCACTGCGAACCCTCCCGCGCTCCTCGAGCCCCTCCTGTCTCCTCCCGACGACGCCATAGGGGCTGCCATTTAGCTAGCAGTCCAGGCTCTATCGGCGCGGGGTACTCCGAAAGCCACTGCGGCGGGCCGGGCCGGGCCGGGCCGCCGCCGGGCCGGCGGCCGGGCGGGCCTAGCGGAGGCCGCCCGGACTGTCGCAACTGAGGCCCACCGGGGGCCGGGCCGGCGGCGGCCGCTGAGCCCAAACGCCGCCGGTGCCTGAGGCCCTGAGGCCCGGGCCGCCAGTCCGGCCCGGTGACGATGAATCGGCGGGCCGAGTGGCGCGGCAGTGAGGCTGGCGGCAACCACTCGGGAAGTTTTAAACTTGGTCAGTTTTAATCGGCCCCCGAACCTGGCGGGACCATCGGTCAGTAGTGATGGCCAAAAAAAAGTCCGATGATGACTGAAAATTTAACGGGCCAGCCTCAAGACTCGGTAATAGGGATCAGCTTCTATGTGAGAAGGACATCAAATAGTCCTATCAATTTCTTCTATCAAATGTTTTGCTGCCTTCCGCTGGTCCTGTCAACAAATTTGTTTTCAAGGTCACTGACGATCATGCATCAAGATGTACCCCTACTTTTACCTGAAAGACAAGTCAAATACTAGGGTAGGGTATACGCGCCAAGGGCGAGGCATGACCAGCAGATGACCAAAGCCGCCGTTGGCCCCTTGCCATCAAAAGGTGTAGTCACTATCGGGGTGGGTATCTACATCGTGATTACCGGTTCTGATTACTGATAAAATGGGGGTAGATTAAGTTGAGGGGTATAAAAGGACCGGGTAGTGTCAGAGTCATGTAGCATCTCGAATCGAGAAGTTGTTCTCGTTGAAGGTACCATAAATTTTAGAATCGAAGGTCGGGTGGGTGGGGTGGGGTGGGGTGGGGTTATGGACGTAGGGATAGGGGGTCCTAGTTGAAAGGGTGGTGATGGGATGCTTTACTGTTCACTTTACAAAGGGTGGGGTACTTGAGATACGACCCCCACGTCGTAATTACAACAGGGGGGTGGTCAGGGTGGTAGAATTCTGCTAAAGTTGCAGTAGAGGCGGAAGGGGGTGGGTCCAGATAGATGTGCTGGTGGTTGATCACTCCAGGAGGGGTAGGGGGGGTAGCCAGGTGCAAGAGGAGAGCGTATGTAGGGGTACTTTAGCGGTAAAAATAGGGGGTAGTATCTGCCAATGGGGTGTATGACCAGAGGACATCCAAAAAGAATGGACATAAAAGTATTATAGGGGATGTGACTTGACGGTTACGCGATGAGCCCTTTCGAAACGGTGATCCCTATATTAAGCTCCTCCTCCTCGTCTCTCCCTCACTCCGTCGCCTCCTCCCGCCCCTCCCACGGGACAAGAACATCTTCAACACCAGCCCTCTGCATAGCATCAACCCCCCCTCCCCCCTCCATCACCATGGCAAACTCCGTTCCCGGCCTTGTCTTCCGCCAGCTCTTCGAGAAGGAGAGCAGCACCTACACCTACCTCCTCGGAGACGAAGCCTCCAAGGAAGCCATCCTCATCGACCCTGTGGTCGAGACTGCCGAGAGAGACGCCAAGCTCGCCGAGGACCTTGGCCTCAAGATCATCTACGGTATCAACACTCACTGCCACGCCGACCACGTCACCGGCACCGGGTCTGTCTTGTCTCCCTCAGCCATGTTTGTCCTTTGCTGACGGCGTGGGATGTCCAGGAAGCTCAAGCAGCTCGTCCCCGGCATGAAGTCCGTCATCGCCGAGAAGTCTGGCGCCAAGGCGGACATGTTCATCAACGACGGGGACGTGCTCAAGTTCGGACAGCACAAGCTGGAGGTTCGCGCTACCCCAGGCCACACCGACGGCTGCGTGAGCTACGTGAGTGGAGCAGAGGCGGCGGGGGAGAGGAGGGAGGGAGGCTGACGAGGAGGAGGCAGGTGCTCAATGACGGAGTGATGTGCTTCACGGGAGACGCCGTGCTGATCCGCGGCTGCGGGCGAACAGACTTCCAGCAGGGCGATCCTGGCCTCCTTTACGAGTCTGTTCACTCAAAGGTAAAATCATTGCCATTGGGGGAGAAGGGAGGCTGACGGGAGCTCGCAGATCTTCACTCTTCCGGACAAGTGCATCATCTACCCAGCCCATGACTACAAGGGCTTGATGAACTCCACCGTCCTCGAGGAGAAGACCCTCAACCCGTGAGTGGGCGGAGGAGAAGCGCAGGCGATGCTGACGGGGGGATGGTGACTGCAGGAGGCTGACTAAGAACAAGGAGGAGTTCATCGAGATCATGAATAACCTCGGCCTCCCCTACCCCAAGCAGGTGAGAGTCTCTCTTACTCCTTCCTGCGAGAGCCGCTGACGTCACGCCCTCAGATCGACAGAGCCCTGCCGCTCAACCTTGTTTGCGGAATTCAGGACTGAGCGAACTGTCTGATCTCGTAACATGCAGTGCATGAAACCAATTGTCTTCTAGTTTCATATGAATGTTCCCTTCTCCTCTGGCATTTTCAAGTAAATTTCTGTAACTGAGAACTGTGGGTTCCTCAATCATCTCTTGTGACGTCATGACCAAGACTGGAGGCCAAGTGTCATGTGGCAGTGACTCGATTGCGATCCTGTATGTATCTTATGCGTCTTCGCCCTCGATCCCTGTACAGCAGCGGACCACTGCCTCTTTCATTTCACATGTCCGTTAAAACCCCATTGGAATTTACAAATCTGTTACTGCGTACGCATGATCGCTGATCTCAGAGAATCGATCAGCTCCATGTCGTTTACGTCATCCCCGCTCATCTTGTTGTTCGTAGCTGCCTCCTTCTCCTTGTTCACCCCTTCTCTCGGTCCATCCTGACTGGCAACTTCCTGCGAACCAGACAAGTCACACTCAAGGAGGACGCAGCTAGCTGTCACCTCCTCCACCACCTCCGACACGACGCAAGTCACATCGTCCAGCTTGCCGGCCGTTCGCTTCTCGTCGCTGCGCCCTTGTAAGGGACTGGCAACGACCATGGACAGCACCTGAAGAGCTGGTTGTGCCGCTCGTTGAAGGGAGTTCTAACTGAAGTCGCCAGCCCTTTCCTGCATTGACAGTGAGCTGACCAAGAGCAGACCAGGAAAAACAGACTTGATGGAGAGGTTGGCGATAAGATGCGCAGCCACCTTCAAGTCTCCTTTGGCTGAGCACAATGCCTGGAACATGCGAGGACATTACTGGAGGAGGGATGCTGAAGGGCAGGCTGACACTGACCTGCATCACCTCTTCATCGAACAAGTTGTCCCACACACCATCCGTGGCCATCAGCACGACGTCGCCAGGATTCGCCTTGTACTCCCACGCGTCGCCTGAGCTGGGCTTATCGGAGTAGGGTCCGAAGGAGAGCTGGAAGGGCATGTTGAAGCGGTGCTGCTGCTCTTTCGTCCTGTACACCATGTCGTACGTATGAGCTTGCTTGCTCCGAGGCTTCACTACCATGAAGCCGGAGTCTCCCACGTTCAACGTCTTCAGCACACCCTGATACAAAACCGCGACACAGGCTGTGGAGCTCCCCAGGAGCTGCGTGTACTCACGCGCTCGTTCGAGGGCCTTGAGAGGGCAGGGGTCCTTGGACGCTACAAGATTCTCCCTCGTCAATGCCATCAGCCTCCTGCTGTACTCCCCTGCGTCGACTCCCTCCGATGCCCACCTGTGCCATGTGAGCTAGAAGTCCTCTAGAGAGCAAGCAGCGATACCCTCCAACTCCGTCTGCTACCCCGATCGCACTCAGAGCTCTCACTGGGGTGCACATGTCAGACAACAACAGCGGCATGATCAGACGCCATGCTGTAGCGAACACGAACAATCATTCCAGTCGCAACTCAAAAAAAGTTGCGACCGAATGGAATCGGTCGCCAGTGTCCAACAACATCAAAGGGGAGCAACATGATGGGTTGCTCGTGGACAAGGAAAGGGGGGGGTGTGGGAGGAGAGGTAAAGTGAGACTATGGGCATGCCTGCGACGAGAGGGTAAAGGCTGGGACTGAGAATGCAGAAAGAGCAGCAGGAGCGCAAGGAGCAGCAGGAGCAGATGGAGGGGGGAGGGGGAGGAAGACCTCTGTCTCTCAACATGAAGCTTGCGTCCTCTCCTCTCTTCTTGCTCGGATGCGCAACCTCCGCCATGAAGCTTCGCAGCATCAGCCTCAGTCCCCTCGACATGGTTTCGCCCTCTGTGAGCCAGCCTCGGAACATGGTCTGGTCACCCCACCCCCGTATTCGGAGAATATCAGTACCCTACCATATCAAATGTAGAAACAATGAGCTAAAAGTACCCCTAAAATGGACCACCCACCCCTAATGTACACGGACATATTCGCAACAAGGGATGAGGGGGATGATATCGCGACCGAAATAAATGTTCGACACATTGCACCATGTAAGTGAAGAGGAGGAGGAGGAGGAGGAGGAGGAGGAGGAGGAGGAGGAGGAGGAGGAGGAGGAGGAGGAGGAGGAGAGGGGAGAGAGAGAGAAGAAAGGAGAGAAGTTGAGATGGCAGATGATGAGAAGAGGACAAGAAAAGGAAGAAATGAGAGGAGAAGTAGAGGAAGAAATGAGAGGAGAAGTAGAGGAAGAAATGAGAGGAGAAGTAGAGGAAGAAATGAGAGGAGAAGTAGAGGAAGAAATGAGAGGAGAGGGGTGAGGACAAGAGGAAGAGGTCAGGAGAGCTAAGGTAGGAGAGAAGATGGCATGATGGAATGGGACTGGACTGCACTGAATGGGAGGTGATTCGAGAGGAGACGAAGAACAGAGGCAATGCGACGGGGGAGAGGAGGATGAAGAAGAGCGGGAAAGAGCAGAAAAGAAGGAAATGCAGAGCAGGACAGAGCATGTTAGGGGCAGGGAGGTCAGAAGATCAAGGGGGCGTTGGGATGAAAATGGAAAGATGAAGTCAAGGTAGGGAGGTTTAAGTTGGTGCAAGATCATACTATGTAAGGCATGGGGAGGCAGAGAAATCAAAATACCATGTGCGAATGATGCTAGGAGGCGAAGGAGAAAGAAGAAGAGAAGGAAAGTAAGATGGCGAGGAGAGAAACAGAGAGAGATGTCAGTGTCTGAGACTACATGGAACGACAATCCACAAGATGTTGCAAGACAGGCAGGCACAGATGAATGAGAGTCAAGTTTCCGATGTTGAGGACGAGAATGGCCGCAGGCTGGAGGTGGGAGGGGCAGGGTGAGCTTAGGAGAGAGGATAGATTGAGTGTGAGGTAGCTCGTGCTAGAGGGGGAGCAAGCAGAGGAAGCAGCTGCGAGCAGCTCGCATGTGAAGGTGACGCATCGTCCTTAGATCCCTGGATCCAGCTCCTGGTGTACTGAGGGAGCATGCGGGTGAGAGCGAGATAACTTGCAGCGTCTGCTACTTCTTGTCCTCAGCCTCGTCTCTGCCTCATCCCCTCGCTTGAGTCACTTTCTCCCCTACCTCGCCTCCCCGCCCTCCTCCTCCTCCTCTCGCTCTTTCTCTCACTCTTCCTCCTCCTTTCACTCTCACTCTTCCTCCCTCCCCCCCTCCCCCCTCCCTCTCTGTCCTGTGACTCGTCTCCCCCTTGCTTCTTCTCACCTTCGCTTCCTCGCACTGACGGGCTCGCAGAATCTCCAGCATCGAGTCGAGCGACGGCGCCTGGTGGCTCAAGGGAGCAGCCGGAACCTCCGCCGGCTCCTCTACCGGATCGCCCTGGTGCTAGAGAGACGAGCGGAGGAGGAGGAGGAGGAGGAGGAGGAGGAGGAGTAACTTTATTGGCAGGTGGAAGCATAGCAAGCAGTCAGACTTCTGGTCTTCGCAGGTTCGGTCGATCAAGTCGAAGGCGGTGAAGGAGGAGGAGAAGGCTTGACAGCAGCGAGACCCTCGTGACTTGTAACATACGCGATGTACTCCCTGCTACCTCCTCTAAGATGTAACCAAATCCAAAACGAACTCGCTGCCTCGTTTGCTCTCCTCTCTTAGCTTGTCTATCTGAGTCCACGCACACTCCTTGTGCCCCTCGTCTCTCTTGCTAGTCTCATGGGGAGCAGGAGGAGGACGAGTCTCAGGAGGAGGAGGAGGAGGAGGAGGAGCAGCAGCAGCAGCAGCAGCGAGGACGGGGAGGAGGTGGAAGGGGTCTGGAATTAAAAATGGTTATTATTAGATGCCAAGTGGAGGAACGAACAGGCACAATTGGGAGGAAGAGGGAGGGAGGGAGACGGAGGGAGGGAGAGGAGGGAGGGAGAGGAGGGAGGGAGACGGAGGTGACCACCAAGAGATCAGAGGAGAGGGAGGGGAAGAGACTAACGCGCTACCTGCGTAGGTAGGACGGAAGGGAGCAAGGGATGGATACCGTAGCGACGCACATCTCCAGGGCTCTTGGGGTGCCAGGGCAGGAGGAGGAGGGTGTGAACGAGCCCTTGTGCGCAGACAACCAGCAGAGGCTTCAGGGTCGAGGTATCGCCAAGGAAAACTCCATCAGCGCCTTGGTGGAGAACCCCAGGAACCCTTCCAAGGTTCTCTCCGCGTGCCTCTCCCTCCTCTTCGTCGTCATCGCCGTCCTCGTCTTCGCCGCCTCCGCGAAGATGGCGATTGATCCAGGGACCGCGGAGGTCAGCCACAAGCAGGTAATGCAGGAGGAGGAGGAGGAGGAGGAGGAGGAGGAGGAGGAGGAGGAGGAGGAGGAGGAGGAGGGACTGGCTGATCCCAGCAAGATGCATGCGATAGAGAAGAAGATCAAACGACAAATCAAGTCAAGCATGAAGAGCTCTCTCGTCCTCCAGCGCAAGGTTCGCCCCCTCCATCACTCCCACCCCTTCCATGCTCCCCGTCCTCTACCTGTCCAGCACCCTCCTTCCTCCTCAACCACCACCACCACCACCACTCGAAGGTTCCTCCCCCTGCCCCACTCCACGACTCCTCCTCTCTTGCCTTGCGTTGACTCAGGATCAGGCGGCCAAGGAGAGCGACGTGGATGGCAAGGAGATGGAGAAACTGAGAAAGCAAGTGAAGGACCTCCAGCGACAGATTCACTCGCTCGTCTCTGAGCAGGTCCCTTCCCCTCCCCCTCCCCCTCCCCCTCATCTCACTCATCCCAACCTCTCTCGCCCACCCTAACCTCCTCCTCGTCCTCCTCGTCCTCGACCCTTCCCCTGACCTCTTCCATCGCCTCTCCCCACTTCATCTATCCTTCTCCTCACTATCTCGCAGAAACAAGAGAGCGTCATAGTTCCGGAGGCTATCGTGCAGTCTCCGAGAGGTTACCCTGGTTCGAGTGAAATCCAACCGAGATTCGTTATTGGACCCTCAAGGTCCTCCTTTCTCCTCCTCCTCCTCCATTCTCTCCTCCACCACCACCACCACCTCCTCCTCCTCCTCCTCCTCCTCCTCCTCCTCCTCCTCCTCCTCCTCCTCCTCCTCTTCCTCCTCTCCTCTCTTCTGCTTTCCTTCCTCCTCCTTTCTTTCCTTCGTCCTCCTTTCTCTCCTCCTCCTCCTCCTCCTGCTACTACTGCTACTCCTTCTCCTCCCCTTCTCCATCATCGTCCTCTGACTCCTAAACCTCCTCATCTTCATTTCATTTACTTTTCCCTTCCTCCCTCCCCTTCACTCACATGCTCATCTTCAGGATTGTCACCCCCAACTCGCGCATGGCGGTCACCTTTGCTCCTGTTGCTTCGGCACATCTCTCATCTTTTCCCCAGGGCTTCTTCTACCCCAGCAGCAGACAGCAGATCCCCCAGCCTCCCGCTAGCCTACCGGCCGCCAGCACTTCAGCCGGTGAGGAGGAGGAGCAGGGAGAGGAGGGGGGCAGCAGGAAAGCTGACAGGGAAGCTGACATGCCTCGCAGGGTCGCGAGCGCGCGAGGTATTCAGAGAAGAAATGAAGGGCAAGTGAGCAGAGAA